TTCTCTTCTCCTTCTTGGCGGCGCCTGCCGCAATGGCGCCAGCCCATAGGCAACACCGACTGCAACAACGTGAAGTTGCTGCCCAGCAGCTCGCGCAGCTGTATGCAGCAGCATCCCCAAATTAAATTTTTTTTTTTAAAACCCAAAATCTGTAATTTTAAATCCAAAAAATCTGTAATTCCTCAAGAAAATTTAGAATCTGAATTCCAAAGTCTTTAATCCAAATATGAAAAATAATCACGAAAAATATACCGCAAAAGTTTTCAAATTCAACAAAATAAAGATCTAAAATTGTTAAATCTGAAAACTTCAAAAAAATATTGCGAGAACCAAATAAATTATTCGATTATTAATGATTCAACATGAAAAGGCTCTGATACCACTTGTAGGATTATTTATTGCTTTAAATCATCAGATCTTTTATGTTAAATCATCAAGAAATTGAAGAACTATAGCGAAAGCGTACCTGAATCAGACATGGTTATTTGTAATAATTGAATCCTACGGTATAGTCTTCCAAATCTACACGCAACCTGCTTTTTTTTTCTCTGTGATGGGATGCAGAAGAGAATAAATAATAGGTACGTGTAATTTGGGGACCATAACCATATATATATAGCGACGCCCTTTGACCTAATTCGGCCCATTATAAAATTAGGATTTGGATCCGATCTCTACACATATGTAAACATATACTTTAATTGAATACATTAAGCTCAAAATTGAAGTCTTATTAGATCACTTTAATTAGGTTTAACCGAATTTGATAGTCTTTAATTTAACACACAATTATTCACACATATAAACCCATCGATGGATTAAAAATCCTTACATCACATAATCATAATCACTAATATTAAACAGAAAAATCACATGATCAAGAAAGTTTTTGCTGCAGATTTGAGAGCCCAAGAAAATGTGGGTTTTAGAAAAGAAATGAACTTTAAAAATATTTCAAAACGATGGTAGATTAAAAGAAAATTTTTAATTTCTTGCCGAAGGGAAAGAGTCAAAAAATGTCACGTGCACTTGGAGTTGGGATAAATTAGTGTATGAGCTGGACTATAAATAAATGAAAAACCCAATGCTTAAAAACAAAAAACAAAAAAAAAAGGATAAAAATTAGAGTCCAGTGCTAGCAGACAGTGAATAGCTCCACCCCAGATAACAATGAAGGATGATATTTAAATCTGGTTCCAAAGTAAATTATTCAAGGTAAATATACTAAAATAATAATTAAACTAATAAATATTATTTTTCCCCAAAATCGGGGTAGGAGTAGTTTTTCTTTAATGTAGGCAATACACCTAGTTCTCACTTTTAAATAAAGGGTGAATCATTTTATACAAGTTCAACATATATTCCTTATTTGGCCTTTTTTAGTCATGCAATGAGATTTGTTAGGTGATCCAGCAATTCTCGGTTGATTCATGATTACATCCCAAATTTTTAGGTATTTCTCGGTGATTCTTAGGACTTTTTGGGGGGATCTTGAGGATTTGTAAAAAGTTCAGGAGTATGGTGTTATTTTGAAAATTAAAATGTTATAATTAGGACCGATACGATTATGCCAAGTGGCGCAAAAATGTCATATAATATTTTCATGAAATTCTATATTAACATTTGTGCCCCTAGGCTCACCTATAAATAGGGCACCGTTTTCATTTGAAAATCATACGGGGCCTCGAATAGGCTAGTGGCTCAATCAGAAAAAAATTAGCCTAGATACAATCATCCAAGGTAAATATTGATGATCGCCACTGTGGGTTATTTGTACATCGTCATAATGATATTGAGCATTAAATTTGCTCACACGACATGCATATATTACATTGTCGTTCATATTGATTATGGGTGTGAATCTTATTATAGTTGTATTGTGCCTTTGATATTCGGATGCACATCTCTGGTTGAGACTCCAATGATCATTAAAGATAGATGATGATTAGCTATTGTAGGTCCGGCATTGTGTACGTGAGAAGTGCCAAGAGGTCTAAAGATGACCATAGGGTTGGGATCTTGCACGACGGTCTCCATATATGTTCAGGTCAAGCCTAAATTTTTGAAATATGTGCCATGAATTTTTTTTGATTAGGATGATGGATACAACGTGAGATCTTGAGTGGACTATAATGGACCCACAGAAAATAGTGATAACGCCCTCCTCGGCCGAATTTATATTAGAGCTCATGCAGTACATATGATAGAGATGTGTGCGCAATATATGTTTGAACATTATTTCTCATCATTCATTGCCATCATATTCAAAGAAAATTATTGTTTACATGTGTATGCTTTGTATTGCAGAGATGGGACACTCAAAGGATGAGACTGAGAAATAGCATAGTCATAACTCAGTTTCTGTAGGAACTTATGTTAACTACGTAAATAAATTTTGAAACAATGTGATGGTATAATTAGGGCTGGGCAAATCTCCCGAACCGAACCGACCGAACCGAACCCGAACCGAACCGATCCGAACCCGACGGTTCTTGTCAAATTAAATACCCGAATGGGTATCTGAATTGAGAACCGACGGGTACGGTTCGATTTTCGGTTCTAGACCAAGAACCGAAAAACCGAATAAGAACCGAATCTTTCTAATTTTTTTTTTATATTGAGTAAATCAAATTATTTTAATTTTAATTTTTTCTAAACAAATTAACAAATTAATGATTTCTAAATCCAAATTTTTGGCCCAATAATTTGTTTCATTTCTAATTTTTTAATTTTTGGCCCAATTACCCATTTTATTGTTTCATTTCTTAGCCAAACAAATCAAATCCACTAAATAACCCTAAGCACCTACAATAAAGTGCATAACGTTGTCTCTACTCTCGCAGCCTATCTAATATTCCAAAACCTATACAATCGTCGGCCGACACTCTGACCTCCGATCGAAGCCGTGACTTTCCCCGACTGAAGCTTTGATCGTAGCGATCATTTGAACAAGATAGTTTACTAATCTCTGACATTCCAAAACTATTGAATGTATCATTAGTCGTATTTATATAACGTTGTTATAAATGTTAAAAAATTTAATTATAGTACAGAACCGAACGGAACCGAACCGATCCGAACCGAACCGAATGGAACCGAACCCGAACGGTTCCATAATTATATTTGGACCCGACGGTTCCATTTACTAGATACCCGAAAAGTTTGGTTCGGTTCGGTTCTAAAGAGAACCAAACCGAACCGACCCGCGCCCACCCCTAGGTATAATGACATTAAATTTTGTACAAAATTAGCAAGTTTTTCCTAGTCGAATTAAAAGCACAAATGAAATTGATTTGACAAAGGTTTGCTCCCTTCTACGACTCAATACATGGAAGCCATCCCGAGTGAACCTATGAAACATTTCTAATATTCAATATTCTTGCACTCATTTCATACCACAATCTACTCTGTTATTAACTTATTTTTTAAATGTGTGTGTATTAAAATTCCATATATCATAAAGGTGCATTTTTTGTGATTTCAAAAGGGCGTCACATATCATAAACAAGCTATAAGCCCTAAAAATATCTTTCATATTTGTATATAGTGACGAGAAAACTACCTAGGTTGTGAAGTGTGGATTGTAACCGGGACGATATTGAATAGAGAATAGAGGATAAGTCAATAAATACTTGAGTTGGCAAAATTTATATGTTAATTTTTCACCATCATATTCTATTTATTATTTACTGTATCTCTCATTATAATTTTTAATTTAACTTTTATTTCAAAAAAAATTCAAATCTCACTAAGGCCTGGGACTCACTAGCCACCCCGCCATTTTTAGAATCGTGTTATTTCCCTCCGGAAGTAATTGATATATTTCTACTTTATAATTCTATTATTTTACGAGTCGAGACCTTACAAATGGTATTAGAGCATGGTCATGTAACCCATAAACATATATCAATTCAGATCATCCAACCTTTCGATGGTTATGTATTGTTTCCAAAGCATGGGACGGAAAGTTTGAGGAAGGAATTTTTTTAAGGGACACACCAGAAATTTCAATAATTTTTAGGTATTTTTCGATGATTTTTAGGATTTTTCGAGGTTCTTAAGGATTTTTCAATATAAGTTTAGAGGTTTTGTGCTATTTTTGAAATTTAGGTTGTGGAAATTAAATTTAGCTATATAATAATTGTGAATCCACCGCATAATGTGGATATGACTGAAGGATGCACTATAATATGTATATTTATGAATAATTGTGGATAATAGGATTTCATAAGGTGACACAACAAAGGCTACATGTTATTTTAATCTAGAAAAAAATGTGCTAGACTAAATATGACGATTTGATGTAAATATCGATGATTCCAACTATGGTAAGTCCAGACGTAGACGTTCTTTTAAACGAATTGAGTCAATATAATTTATTATTTTTCTTTCTTCTATTAAATATACATGAATAAACTTGAATTATATACAGAATACAATGAAGATGAAATTTGAACTAAACCCTCTATGCATTAGATATTAATGTTACATAGCATTATCTAAACACTTTTTTTTTTAAACTCATTTCAACCATACATTTTTTCAATAAAATAAATTTACCCGTAAATTAAAAAATTTCTTTATTTTTTAACCACACAGTTAAAAAAAATCACTATTACATAGGTCGTAACTCTCTTGATTTAAGCTCATGTTTGAGCCCCCTTTTTTTAGCAAAAATGTGTTTTAAAGTATCGATTTTTTAAGAATGTGTGATCAAAAATGGGAAGAAGTTTCAATTTACATTTAAAACTATTTTACAGGATAATATGTGATTAAAAATAAGTTTTTCAAAAAATTCAAAAATACCATAATTATCTCCTAAATTGCCATGCATGAAATGTATTGGAGGTGTTCTTATGTTAAATGTATTGCCGTATAGATATTAAACAAATATCAAAACAACATTGAATAGGACAAACAATATCAGGGAGATGCCTCGTTTATCTTCATCTCCATTAACTAATTAGAATTAAATACAATATAAGTTCATTATAATCTGATTCTTGATTCTTTCTGTCCTTTATCCATATTGTTTAATCCTCTGCTATCTTGGCAGTAACGTGGTGACATTGCAGTTCCTCAATTCTTGAAATACGGGTCAAACTCTCTTTAAAATAAGCAGTAAAATATTGTAATTTGCTTCACCCTCGCCGCACTCTTTTGTTGTATTAGGTGATAACTGATAAATTATGCCTGTTTGATGTAAACAGATTAATAAACTTCTTTTGGTCTGTATTAAAATCCCTTCTACTGCTGCATTTAATCTTCCCCTAGTTATTTGTCATTATTTTTCTCATGTTGAGAGAGAAATCTTGATTAAACAGTTGGATTTAAGGCAATGTCTACCAAGTTGTGAGAATAGCTTGTGTTCTTCTGGTCAAATCTTTAGCCTAGAAAAAGACTTATCAGATCAAAAACATGGGTTTGGTTAATAATCCTTCAGACATGTTCTCTTGTTATTTCGAACAAGAAAACAAGACCTAGGTTAGAAATTTTACTTAGTTCGACTTTTCATAGGGTTTCAAGATGAAACAAGATACCATGACTTTCTAAGATATTTTTCTGAAATCTGTAAAAACCATAGGGTTTAGATCTGGATTCTTATCAGTTTTGTAGTAGGAATCCGAAAGATTTTGTTTTATGAGAAATGGGTGAGGAAGAGACTATTCCTATTCACAAACAGCAAGATCAAGAAAATTATCAGCCCAAGAATGGGATCTACAATGCTGTTTGCAAACCAGTTCATTGGTTCAAAATGCTTGCTTTGGAATTGCACTGGAGTTTTGTCTTTGGGGTGGTGATTACTTATGGAATTAGCCAAGGACTTGGTGGGGCTCTTTCGCGGGTGGGCACACAGTATTACATGAAGGATGTGCAGAAAGTGCAGCCTTCTGAGGCTCAGGTTTACTCAGGAATCACTTCAATTCCTTGGATAGTGAAACCGTTATGGGGTCTTCTCACAGATGTTGTTCCCATTTTGGGGTATCGTCGAAGACCTTATTTCCTTTTCGCTGGTAAAATGTTAATAGTTATTTTAGCGTATTATTGCAGATTTCATATGGCTGCTTTGTTTGTTCCTTGTTGCTTATTGTGATTCCCGGATTGGTGTCCCTGCATTTTATTGCCTTCTTTTTTCTTTTTTTTTATATTATACTTTGGACTTCTTGGTGATTAATCTTGTACTCCTGTTTGTTTGAAGAATCCTTCTACTATTAGTGCATGTTCTGTGCACTATTCTCGATAGTTTAATATATAAGATTTTAGCTTCTTTTTTCTTTCGTAATCCGGTTCATTATCCGGCAATCCACCTTACTAAACAAACCAGTAATGTTTCCTTAAGTTCAAGTTTACATGGAGAAACTCTTTCTTCAGATTCGAAAAAAGGCTATGTTTTGCTGATGTGATCATTCATTTTATTATATGCGTGTTTAAGCTAATGTAAGGGTGGATCCGCATTAAGAAGTATGAAGGTAGGGAATTATGTTGACAGGAAGTATATGATCAAAATTTATATACATTTGATCGTGTCTTTGACTGGCAGGTAACGAGCATCTAGGGCTCCAGTAAGTAAATTTTCAATAATCTTAGAATTGTTAAAAAGTGTTGTAAGGTAAACATAACATAAATAAAACAGAGAACTAAAAAGTCAGAATTTTATATGAAAACTAAAATTTATTACTTATGGAATCAATAAAGGTGAACTCTGAATCGGCTTAAGATTTTTCTTTCCTGCTTTCTTAACATCTAATACAGATAACAGTATCTAAGCACTAGAAAAGCAATGGTGATCCTTTATGTATTTATCAAAACCACAAGTTGGTAATCCGTAATATTCAGAAATCGCCTTAAACTTACTTACAGTTTTTATAGGTAATATCTTTCCTGGTTATAAATTTTATGTTAGCTTTCTGGACAGCAGCAAAACAGAACGGTCAAAATTTTATGCAAACCGTATAAGAAAGAGTACAGGGTAATAAACTAGGGTGGTATGATAGACACTAGAAAGTGTTCATGCTAAATAGAATTAAGGAAAACTATCAGCAGTTCCCATTCGTGGGACAGTTAATTCAGTTTACCGAGCATCTTATTTTAACTAAGAATACAATGTTGAGGAGTTCTGAACATGTTTATACGTGCAGAAACCCAAGCAAACTAGCTGCTCAGGATCTTTATGGTTTAGGATTTATCAATAACCAAATTCTTAACCATCACTGATTTTTCTTATTCTTCTATCCAAGAGGAAAGCATTGGTTACCACTATTGCTGACTCATAAGAACATATCCATGAAAGGAAAAAATTGTAGGAAGAAAAAAAAATACTTGTTTTCCCTTTTCCTTCCTTTTTCTGCTGATATATTATTTTTTGTGGCAATAAATTCAGGTTGTCTCGGGGTAATCTCCATGCTCTTCTTATCATTGCATGAGAAGCTGCATATAATACTTGCACTAGTGTCATTGACGGCAGCAAGCGCGAGTGTTGCCATTGCAGATGTGACTGTTGATGCATGTGTGGCACAGAACAGTAGTATCCATCCATCTCTTGCAGTTGACATGCAAAGCTTATGTGCTCTAAGTGCTTCAATTGGGTCACTTGTGGGATTCTCTTTAAGTGGTATCTTTGTTCACTTAATTGGTCCACAGGTTTGATTCTTTGTATTTTTTGATAAAATATTGTCACTATGATTAGGCATTATATGCAAATCTGATTTGCCTTTTACGAATTTCCTCTGAATGCAAGGGGGTGTTTGGCTTGTTGGTAATACCAGCTGGACTTGTGATGTTAGTTGGTGTTTTGCTCAAGGAAAATCGGTCATCCAGCTTTGCATATCAGCAGGTACTGACGCACTTCTATTGCATTCTTGTGGAATCGTTGAAGACTAAATTTATAATACATACATATGCTTTTAGATGAGGCAATTCAGCATAGCATCAAACTGGAGGAAAAACATTTGGGTTTTGGTCTTGTCGCTACCCATATTTTAAAATTCTGCATGTGTTTGACTAAAAGTAATCACGCCCCCTAAGTTAGGGGACGTGTTGAAGACTAAATTTAAATAAATACACACATCCCTCTCTAACAGCTTGAACCTTCAAACGAGGTTGCTCAAGCTTTTAGAAAGGATAAGATTATAATCTTGAATTCTTGATATCAGATAAACCAGAACTTTCTAGATGCTGGCAAAGCTATGTGGAAGACCTTGAAATGCTCGGATGTGTGGAGACCATGTTTATACATGTACTTGTCCTTCTCGATGAGTTTAAGTATCTCTGAAGGGATGTTCTACTGGGTTACAGATTCAAAGGCAGGTCCATCATTTTCTCAGGTATGTCAATTTCGAGTTCTCACTACACTAATTTAGGACTAAGCCAAAAGATTTTTCAACAGGAAATATCTGTCTGCCAGTATCGGCAGGGAAAAAATTACATTGAGTAAGTCTAGCTTTTTTAATGAATTTGTTGTGAACCAAAAATTAGTGATTTGTACCCGCTAAGAGCAAACCAAAGAGGAAGTCCTTGAGCCTGAAATTGGATTAAATGGTGTTATGTGCTATAAAAAGGTGACTTGAGACCAAGTTTAAGATACCCATGTTCACTGTTATATCAAACTTTTCATATTTGGGAATATTGACAACATATCTCTCTAGATCCTGTACAAAAAATTATGGAAATCAATAGAGATTTTTGTAGAACTTCTTGAATATTCAATCATGTAAAAATGCATTACCCAAAGAAGACGTGGCATTTACTTACTGAAACATTCTTCATGTAATATGACCGAAAACTGATATGCCCTTTAATATCTACGTATCAATACAACTTAAGTTATTACGAATGATAAATATTCTAAGATGACATTGAATGTTGAGGAGGCTCGAGTCCACAAGTAGAATCCATATCCTAATTGAACTTGTATGAATCCAACCATACTACAGTACTCTGACCATAAAATGTTTGATTAGAACGTACTAGAAACTAACATCTTTCAATAACATAATGTATATCTCCATCAAGATACAAAATTTTGGTATCTTATACTCTATTGGAAAAATGTAGACATTCAAATTGATATCATGGGTATCATATATGATTATCAGTATGGAAAAAATTCTAAATCAAATGCTAGTGTCGAGTAATTACTTGTGGAGCTCAACCAGATAACTCTGTGTTCACTGTTCATATGATTAACACAGGAAATCATTGGTTATATAATGGCGATTGGCTCCGTAGGCTCTCTTTTGGGAGCTATACTATATCAATATGGATTGAAGGACTACCCATTTCGTGATTTACTCCTCTGGACTCAGATACTATTATGTCTCTCGGGAATGCTCGATTTGCTACTTGTTCTACGTGTAAACTTAAAACTTGGGATACCGGACTTTTTCTTTGTGGTAATTGATGCAAGTGTTTCTTCCATGATCGGGCGACTCAAATGGATGCCACTTCTTGTTCTAAGTTCAAAACTCTGCCCCCCAGGCATTGAAGGAACCTTTTTTGCTTTGCTCATGTCAATTGATAACGCGGGAGTTCTTACATCATCATGGTTTGGAGGCTTGTTGCTTCACATTTTGAAGGTTACAAGGACACAGTTCGATAACTTGTGGATAGCCATTTTGATAAGGAACATATTGAGGATTAGCCCGCTATGTATACTATTTTTGGTGCCAAGAACTGATCCTAATTCATCTGTTCTTCCCAGTGAAGTATTGGATTCAAAAGAGGTTACTGAAACTTTGGCACCTGAGAATATTGAGCTTGTTTCCCTCGTTAACAATGTGGATAGTAGATAGCATTACACTACATCATCAAAACGATGAATGCAAAACGATACTCCTATATCATTTCAACACGTGAGAATATTCAGAAAGGATTCAGCACTACGGGTTGTTAGAGGTGAATGGTGATATGGGATGCTTCCCTTTGTACTTGCATGTATTCTTTTGTATGATTATAGATTTCTTGATCTTAATAAAATTCTTTTGCTCACAATATATGGAAGGAAATTATGTTGTTTAGGTATTTAAAATTTATATTTACACTTACAGATTGCATATTTACATGATTGTTTAATATATTGTGAGAAAGCAAATACACTGGCAAGCTAATCTCTGTAAAGAAACTGAAATGGCTTGAGGTTTAACCTGCCATTTGATATCTCTGTTTCTTTTTTTATCCTAGTTGAAGCTGATTGGTAACATTGGTTGGTATGCGTAATCAGAAATACATATGGGGCAGCCTGAAATTGCCTTTTAATTATTTTACTATTTGTTTTTATTGTCCTTTTGATACTCTTTAATTAATATTTGTCATTGGGAAAAAGTTGTATCGTATAGTTTACGGGTTTCCTCAATTTGTTTCTATTTAAATTCTTGTAAGACTAGTCGTTCTTGGTTGTTTTTGATATATTTTTATGACAATTCGGATCTGTTCCAAAATGCAATCCCTATGGTATTCTTCGAGTCAACGAATTTAGATTAAGGTACTATTCCTTCTTGACGTTTGTGTTGCATCAGATGATATCAAACTCAACATCATGCACCTGACAATGCTTTGAATACCAAGATTGGATGCTTATGAAGTTCGTGTAAGAGATTCATCGACGAGAAGAGATGACATCGGATGAATTTGTTGGCACAAAAAATCTTTATACTGACGACTCTCCAATAATTCCTGTTGGGAACGTTGAGTGGCCTAAGCGTGGGACTCCTGCAAAAACACTTGAAGGTTCAGAATCTTCCGACGATGGATCCAATTCCAATTTAGAGGTTGATTAAGGTGAAAGTTACAATGTCCACCAGTCTTTCACAAAGAGGTTGAGGAGCGTGTATAGAACGAAGTCAGCTACTGTTATTAAGATGTTATTCTCCATTTTTTATGCTTGTGCTGCATCAACATAAATCAACAGCAGTTTCTTCTTGTTCAAGTGACAAATGCGACTTGAGAGTTGTCAAAGAATATTACACACAGAACTAAGAACGAAAGCAAACAAAAGATCGCGAAAATGTGCCAAATTATGTAAGTTGTAAGAAATAAAATCCATAGTGCCAAAGCTGCCCAACATAATTGGAGCGAATCATTCAATCTTGAAATGACGTGCATTTGGCTACAGCTTACAGTATATTAATCAAGCAGGATCCTTCATATCACTCTCATGTATATTGCTTGAAAACTAATACTTCCGTGGTCTCACTTGATAGAAATGCATAATAGCAACTTATTTCACCCTTCTCCTCTCCCTGTCTCTTACATGATCATCCCGTTCCCTGCTTCCACTTTTCTGTTGACCACCATCCCGGTCCCGATCTCTGGTGGAGAATTTCCGTTGAGGGCTTTCACTTCTGCTTTGGTTACGCCTACGCTTCTTTGAAGGTTCATGAGAATCACCTCTTCTGTCCCTCCTGTCTAAAGATGGCATCTCTGCAGTTCACCATGGTAATTTTCAATGATTTATGTGGGGGAAAAAAATCTCGATATAAATGAGAAATGTGCGAGGGTTAACAAAGTTAACTACTGCAGACTGTTTGATCAATTTAGAAATCAGGACTTCAACAATAGAAGATTACCATGAAACCAATTTAAATGGGAAAATAAGTCATCTGACGGTCTCGAGCAAGTATACAATCTGTCAATTGTTAGTTTAAAGTTCAACCTGTAAACAACTTGCACAATTTAATATTAAAGGTTTAACTATAACATTAAGTTACCGTCCAAGACTGCTAAAATGCTGTGTATCCAAATTCTACACCATAAAAAATCGATTATTCCCCCAAAATAACTCAGATGTTATAAAAATCCACATCAGTAATTCTTTTTATTCAAATCGGAAAACTTGTCGCACAATATTTATTTTTCTTGCATTTTCTAGCTCTAATGGAAATAATATTAGATTCTCTCAAACAAAAAATTGAAATGGTTGTAACAATAGTTAGAAAAAGACGTTTTGCAGATGAACTAATTCATGCTGTTGCAGTGCAAACACAGTAAGCATAGAAATCTATGTCACGTGTTCAAAATTCTATTAGAGCTAGCTCATTATGTGTTTATCATATACAATCATATTAGAAGCTTTTCACTTACTTCTACTGGAATCTGTGTTGGTGTCCAATATACTGAATTCAGATTGTAGCCTACTACGGCGTGTAGCCACTTTTCTTTCAATTTCCTGAGGACTCTTTATTCCTTCCTCCTCGAGAGCCTCACGATATTCCATCAAATCAACCTCTAGACGCCTCAATTTTTGCCTGAGTACATAGACACAGTCAAGCACCTTACTGATATTGCAATTAAACAAACGTGTGAAATGTATGCTCGCATATTTGATGATAGGTCAATTGGGATATTTGATGATCGGACAATTGGGATATTTAATTATCGGAATAATTGTTGGAGATGCATAAAGGGGAGTTCAAAAAATTATAGAATGTGAAAATCTTTTTAATAGTCTATTAGCTATATTTGGCAGATTCATCTTTCAAAAGGATCTAAAGATACAACCGCCTGTTAGATCCCAAAAAATCACAAAGATCAGTCAGAAACATCATTAGCAATTAGATGTACAGTTAACACTGCATCTTTTATATAGTACTCAAGAAAAACAAATTGAATCTATTGAAAGCGTATAAGAGAAAACAGACAACCATAATACCTCTGTTCTTCATTCATTCCACCATCAAGATGTGATGAATTGCTTGCAACAGCTGCGGACTCCACTTCCTCAGTTATACTAAGACTTTCACCTGCTCGTTCACTCCCAGAAGACGAATAAGTTAACCCCAGATCCTTTGCTTTTCTTTCTTGTTCCTCATCAATTTCAACATCCTCCCTGGCCCACTTAGAGGTTGGCAGCAAAGATCCATTATTTGCTGAACTCATAAAGGAGTTAAGTTCAGGCTGTGAAAGGGGATTCAACACGGATAAGGATTCTGTTCTTTTTGACTTCATATCGTCGTCCAAATTACTTTTCCTTCTTGACATACCCTCTGGATCCATTTCAAATTTTGTTTCAGTTCGGCCACTCGGATATCTGCCTCTATTGGATTGGTTTTGTGCAGACTTCAGTTCGTCATCTAAACCCCTTTGCTTTTCTGCCTCTTCCAGATAAAGTAACCTCGCAACCATCATTTCTCTTCCACCAATAAGCGATACTCCATTGTGTCTGCATCGTCTCTCTAGCTCAGTAAGAGGCAAGTTCAACAGCTCCTGCATGGCAGCTCCTTTCCCAATTGCCAATGCAGCATCTTGGTTAGTCTTGACCCCATCAACCGTGCCATCGGAACTAACCTTACTGTCTAGCTCAGGGGCATCACCACATATAGAATGAAAAGGAATCACACCCGAGTTACCCGAACGGAGAAAGGTAGCTCGCAACCCATTCACATACGCATCCGAAAACAGAAACCAGTCAGCCCACACTTGAAGAACTTTCAGAACACGTTCCTACAAAATATTGGACAAGGAAACATTATATTCTGAAGAAGGGAAAATAGGCAATACGGCAACTGCATGCCAATAGGCAAAAATTTGCTAAGACACGTGACTTACCTTAAGGGCCTCAGCTGTTATTCGTCCTGTTATACCACGATACAAGTCATTAAAGCTTTCCATAATGTCTGGTAGAGTTCCTTCAAATTTGGTGCGATATGCAGATGCATTCTTTACAGGAGCACTACTATTATGTAAAATGTCTGAAACAAGCATGAGTCGTGCAACTTTTGTCGGGATGGGAGTCTCTTTAAGCGTCAGGGACTCAGTTAGCACTTCAACCACCTACAGCTCAAGTGAAGATTGAAAATACGTAAGATATGGTACCATTTAAATCTCTTTAAACTATTTAACAAACCAACTCTGATTCGCATTCTCTCCACCTTTTCTCAGATAGCAGAAATAGAGTACCAATAATGAAGGTCAATGTATTTAATATCAGCATCTGACTTATATTCAAAATCTAAGGCGTCAAATGGATAGTCTTGAACATGAATACATAAATAACTATTTTAGCCTCATTGCCCGGGATTATTGCAGAGCAAATCTTAAATTCAGATGAAGTTGACAGATTAAAAGCCATTACTTGGCTCGAGATCTTATTGAACGAGACAAAGAACCTATTACAGTAAAATCAGCATAAACAATTACCTCTCCAGCTGCATCAGCATTATCCAAGGAAAAACCCATAGCTTCTTTAATCTGGCTTCTTTCTAAAGTCATCGCACGTAGCATGTCCTCAAATTCATCTCTTTGGGCATCAGTCAATGTTCGTTCCACTTCTATTCGCTGTAAAAAGCATGGGATGCAATTCTCATAGTGAACAAACCAAATTATGCAAAACAAGTAATCATTCAAATTAAGCCCCCGTTTGGTAGCAATTTTTCACCCAAAAAAATCAATTTTTTGAACGTTTTTTCATTATTTCAACCGTCATTTTTTACTTCTTTACTCACATGTGGGTCCCACTTTTCTCTCTAACGGTCAAAAATTCAATTCTCATAATCACTACCAAATAGGCCTCAAATTACAGCACCAAACTCCAGTGAAAAGCATAAAACCTGGAAAAAGTACCTTTGTTTTCCCAGCTGCATAAGTGTTCTCAGACTCCTTTTCATATTCTGGTCCTTTCAATGTTGGTAGAGGTGGCGGTATCCATCTTTACATACAACAAGGGAGAACTATCAAAGAAATTAATAGAGAGGATATATATACTATCCACAATAACTACTCTGTCACGAAGTATTTCTCATCTAGGATGGAAGTATTTGCTTTCAATGTTGGTAGAGGTGGCAGTGTCCATCTTTACATACAACAAGGGAGAACTATCAAAGAAATTAATAGAGAGGATATATATACTATCCACAATAACTACTCTGTCACAAAGTATTTCTCATCTAGGATGGAAGTATTTGCTTCTGTAATTCCTTCAAATTAGAATGAAAAGGTGACCAAATATTCATCCCATGCCTAATTGTCCCATTTAACAGTTTCTTATATCAGAACAAGTGAAAAACTCATTTGTCAGGCTACCCAAATATGGAAATATACTTTGTAATGA